TGTAAGTGTGAGTGCGTTTTTTTGTTTATTTGTTTTTGTTTTGTTTTGGGGGGTTTTTTTTGTTTTTTTTTTTTGAGACGGAGTCTTACTCTGTCACCCAGGCTGGAGTGCAGTCGCCGGATCTCAGCTCACTGCAAGCTCCGCCTCCCAGGTTCAAGTGATTCTCCTGTCTCAGCCTCCCAAGTAACTGGGATTACTGGTGCATGCCACCATGCCAGGTTAATTCTTTTGTATTTTTAGTAGAGGTGGGGTTTCACCACGTTGGCCAGGCTGGTCTCGAACTCCTCACCTCAGGTGATCTGCCCGCCTCAGCCTCCCAAAGTGCTGGGATTACAGGCATGAGCCACCACGCCCGGCCAGTGTGAATGCATTTTAAGAGCAAAGTACAAAGGTCAGTTGGGATCAGCAGAGGGTAATCAGGGCCTCTGTTTCTGTGAAGAGCTGGCTGTCCTCAGTGGCATGCTGGGATGCTTTGTCTCACCTAGAAGATGCAGCTTCCGTGGCAAAGCCAAGGTCACATGTTCCTGGGATTGTCAGTGTATTTCACAAGAGAAAACAAGAGTAATGATCTCTTGGAATGAAAACAAAATAGATGATTAAGGAAATTAGGAATGTGTTCAAAAGTAAGCATTTTGAGGAATTCTTCTAATTGCTCATTTTAGAAACTAAATTGGCCTTCATCCTACCAGAAAGATTCTTAAGTTTGGGCACAGCGGCTCATACCTGAGGCAGGCGGATCGCTAGAGTGCAGGAGTTGGACACCAGCCTGGGCAATACCCATCGCTACAAAAAAATACAGAAATTAGCTGGGCATGGTAGTGTATGCTGTGGTCCCAGCTACCTGGGAGGCTGAAATGGGAGGATCACTTGAGCCTAAGAGGTAGAAGTTTGGTCTGAGATCATGCCACTGCACTCTAGCGTGGGCAACAGAGTGAGACCTTGTCTCAAAAAAAAAAAAAAAAGAAAGATTTTTAAATTGCATCACATCAGATTTTAAAATTTTGTTTGGTTTGAACTGAAGTAGAACAGAAAGTAGAGGATACCACACTTGGAAAGATGACTGCTGTGTCAGGACATTCTTGCTTCAGTTACACACATATGTACGTGTGCATGCCCCGGGCGGCAGTGTGAAGTGTATGTCTCATTGTAGTGTCATGAACAAAAAACGCCCCTGGTAACAATGCCAGGGGTCTATCGTGTGTTAAGCGCTCTTTAAAAAAAAAAGTAGTTATGGGAGGAACTTACCTTCATAGAAATGGAATATTGATCTTTGCAGATGATGATGCTACTCGTTAGAGACAAGAAAATAAAGCATGAAAAGCTTTTTTTCCCCTTAGCTACATCATGGAGAAGGCAGATCTTGTCATAGTTGGTGCCGAAGGAGTTGTTGAAAATGGAGGAATTATTAACAAGGTAAGAGCGTCAGTTCTCCCCAGTTCCCTGCTCAAGACTTGGAGGTGTCTTGCTGACCTAGGACACCACAGCAGTGTTGTTGATTACAGTTCCTTCTAGAAGCCCTCCTTCACTTCAGGACTTCATCATGGTGTATTGAGTTGTTGCCCAGTTCCCATAACTCATAGCAATGGTCAGTCCAGTTTTGGTCAAATCTTTCTTCTTTTTAGGTTGGTCTGCATAAATGAAGACAATGTAATTTGGTCAGGTGTGATGGCTGATACCTATAATCCTAGCAATTCAAGAGGCCAGGGTGGGAGGATCACTTGAGGCCTTGAGTTTAAGACCAGCCTGGGCAACATAGTGAAACCCTGTCTCTACAAAAAATTAGAAAAATTAGCTGGGCGTGGTGGTGCTTACTTGTAGTTCCACCTGCCGAGGAAGCTGAGGCAGGGGTATCACTGGAGTCCAGGAATTTGAGATTGCAGTAAGTTATGATTACACCACTGCATTCCAGCCTGGGCGATGGTGAGATCCTGTCTCAGAAAAAAAAAAAAAAAAGTGTAATTTATATTTAATTTATACAAAATTGGCTTGAATTGGAATTGGGGTTTGGTTTTTATTTTTTAATTCTTTATGTGTACATTTTATTCTTTATCATACATATACACATAATAAAAACATACAAATATTTATTTTTAAAATACTATTTGTATATTTACATATAAAGTATGTATGTATAAAATATGTGTATTTATATGTAAATATTTTATATATTTTTAAATAGAGATACGTTCACTCTGTTGGCCAGGCTGTAGTGTAGTTCAGTGGTCATAGCTTACTGCAGTCTTGAACTCCTAGCCTGAAGCAACCCTTCCACTTCTCAAAGTGCTAGGATTACAGGCGTGAGCCACTGTGGCCAGCCTGTCGTTTGTTTTCATTTTAATTGAGCACATTTGACCTCCGTTTTTTATTACAATTTCTCTCTCCATTATTTAATTTAGAAAGGCTTTATGAAAGCTTTTTTTAGTTAAAATATATATAACATAAGGCCGGGCGTGGTGGCTCACACCCATAATCCCAACACTTTGGGAGGCTGAGGCAGGCAGACCACCTGAGGTCAGGAATTTGACACCAGCCTAGCCAACATGGTGAAACCCCATGTCTACTAAAAATACAAAAAATTAGCTGGGCATGGTGGCGGGCACCTGTAATCCCAGCTACTTGGGAGGTTGAGGCAGGAGAATCGCTTGAACCTGGGAGGTGGAGGTCTGCAGAGTGTTGAGTCACATAACTGTATATTTAACTTTGAGAAACTAATGATTTTCCACAGCAGCTGCACTACTTTACATTCCCACTAGCAAAGCAAAGGTTCCAGTTTCTCTACATCCTTGCCAACACTTGTTTTTTTAAATTTTTTTGTTTTGAGATGGAGTTTCACTCTTGTTGCTCAGGCTGGAGTGCAATGGCACAACCTTGGCTCACTGTAACCTCCGGCCCCCCGGGTTCAAGCGAGTCTCCTGCCTCAGCCTCCCTAGTAGCTGGGATTACAGGCGCCACGCCCCCCACCCCACCATGCCCAGCTAATTTTTCATATTTTTAGTAGAGATGGGGTTTCCCTATGTTGGCCAGCTGGGTCTCAAACTCCTGACCTCAGGTGATCCACCTGCTTCGGCCTCCCAAAATGCTGGGATACAGGTGTGCGCCACTGAGCCCAGCCTGCTTTTCTGTGGCTTCTCCTTCGGATGCACTCTAGAGCTCATCCATTCCATTTCCTGCCTTCCCAGATTGGAACCAACCAGATGGCTGTGTGTGCCAAAGCACAGAATAAACCTTTCTATGCGGTTGCAGAAAGTTTCAAGTTTGTCCGACTCTTTCCACTAAACCAGCAAGACGTCCCAGATAAGTTTAAGGCAAGAGTTTTACATATTTGAAGGGGTACTAACATCTAAACAGAAACTTTTGGAAATTGTAGTCCTAAGAATGTTCCAGTAGTTTTTTCACTTCCTATTGCTACTTTCCGCAACACTTGTAATACAGAGATAAATTGGTGGCTGGACTCACACATTTGTCCCTAGCATTTCAGTCTTTCAGTCTCTTTAAGTAGCACCATAGATGGGTGGAGAGGAAGCCAGAAGCTGGTGGTTAAGTCCCAGCTTTGGGCTCAACTGAGGTCAGCTCCCTTCACCACAACTTATAAACTGTGCGAGTTGAGGCAAGTCCTTTCAGCCTCTGAACCTGTTTCCTTGTCTGTCAGATGGCACAGCAGTATCTGACAGGGTCATGAGGATTCTAAGATAGTCTTAGCACAGTCCCTGGCACGCTGCAAGCTGTCTGTTGTGACTCTCAATCATACTTTGAGGGGTCTGGAGAAGTTAATCCGGCATGAGAATGAGGGGACACGTGATTTAAGTTTGTTACACTACAGCTCTTGGCCAGCACGCCGCCATGATCTGGCTTATGGCCACAACTCTGCCCTCCTCTCCAGTGTCCTGCATAGCTAGCTTCTCCCATTTTCAGAGAGCAGTCTCAGGAAGTAGCACACTGATCACTCACGCCAAGGCCCCACCAGTATGGAGCCCTAAACATTCAGTGCCGACTAATGTGTACTTCTCTCCTCAGTATAAAGCAGATACTCTCAAGGTCGCACAGACTGGACAAGACCTCAAAGAGGAGCATCCGTGGGTCGACTACACTGCCCCTTCCTTAATCACTCTGCTGTTTACAGACCTGGGCGTGCTGACACCCTCAGCAGTCAGCGATGAGCTCATCAAGCTCTATTTGTAACCTGTGGGCCCTTTCCTGCCAAGGTGCAGCTTCTGTAGTTGAGGCTGAGGCAGGGTGAGTAGCTGCTTGACACCCCAGTGAGCCAGGCCAAACCTGAGATGCGTTTTAATGAAGATTTATGGAGTAAGGACTTAAAATCATACATCTTGGAGAACCTTTCGTATTCATTTCAGTCCCATCTAAAAATGTGTCAGTTATTCTAAATCCCAACCTAAATTGTTCTTCTGGTTTCTAGAAACTTTCCTTTTCAGTTTCCAGAAATACAAGTTAGATAATTGGCTACTTAACTGATGAAAGATGAGCCCAAGTCCATCTCTCCTCATCCTCCCCTGCACTTGACTGATCTGCCAAAAGCATGCGAGATGCAGGGGAAAAGCAGCCACACCCCTCTGCCACAAACGACCAACAGCTGGTCAGGACGTTACACGCGGTGCCTTGTAAGAGGCAAGAAACACTTGCCGAATCTGCGTCTGGCTTCCAGTGGTAAGCACATTCCTCAGCAGGATCAAGCCAAACAGGAAAAACTGTACCAAGAGAACATGAGGCGGGCAGAAACATTTAGCAACAGTATTCTGCATGGCTCACTGCTTAAGAAAATGCCTTCTGGAATATTTGTAAACTAAAGTTCTGTATGTGTAAGAGATGTTTAAATATGTTTGGGTCCTAAACAGCTTTTTAAAATTATACTTGGGAACAACTTCAGCATCTTTTCAAATAAACTCTATGATAAAGACTTTGATGTGGTGTTGTGTCAATACTGCAAGCTGACCCAGGCCGTCTAGGGGAAAACACTGTCCAGCTACATTTACACACTTAAGACCCAGGCAATCAGGACACCATTTATTCAACAGAAGGCATAAAAACTGTAATTCTCTTTCCCGGAATATGACTTAATGCCTGTGTTTTTCAGCTGTTCACCAAAAAAAAAAAAATACTGGGACTATTCTTAACACAGAAAAACCCCCAGCACATTAGCCACCTCTGCAGGGCATCAAAGGATAACTGAAGCCCAGGGCCAGGGACATTCAGGGGGTCAGATGCCTAAAGATACTAAGGAATGGTTTTGAAAATCAGAAGTCAAGAATACTTCAGTACCTTTATGATTAAAAATAACTAAAATAGCCTCAGAAAAAAGAGCTCATATATATATAATATGTACATAGGTCTATATATGGGACCCATCATGACAAATAAATACATCTATTATTTACACTCAAATAATTGTACATTTTCTTCTGTTAGACTATTTCAAGACTGGAATTGTTTTGTTGTTTTTAATGAGAGGGTCTGGCTGTGTTGCCCAGGCTGGTCTTGAACTCCTGGGCTCAAGTGATCCTCCTGCCTCAGCCTCCCAAAGTGCTGGGATTACAGGCAGGAGCCACTGCACCCAGCCAAGACTGGAATGTTTTTAGTAAAATATTCCCAAGTGTGAAATCCTGCATTTCTCCCTCGTCTGAAAGGACAGCTTTCAGAGACATGATTCTTCTCAGATGTCTCCTGAAGTTTTGATTTCCATTAAAAGCAAACTGGAGCCATCCACCAAGTTAGGGAACAGCTATGCCCTTGTGGGTTCATCTGTGGCACTGGAATCAGCCGTCATCTTCCAAATCTGAGATCCCTAAATCCACTGTCTTGATTGTTCTTTTGCCAGTTGTCAACAAGCCCTTCTCAAATTCTTCTTCAGTTATTTTGCCTTTCTTAAGTTTTTTCAAGAGTCTTGTGTCATTGAGAAGTTCTTCCATGTCCTCATCTTCAATATCAGAACCCTAAGTACAGAAAAAACCAATAAACTACTAAATTTTTCAGCAATAGTGTTCTAGTGAAACCAGCAGTTTTAACTCAGGAACTATAAGCTCTCAGATTGGCTTCCGTAAATACAGCAAATTCCCCGCCCTAGTCACCAACGTAACAGAAATCTGAGAGCCCCACACAATTCCTATTTAAAGAACGACTACAATAATATTTGTTCAAGATTCTAAGTTAATGTAAGTAAAACTAAACTTTACCTCTTCCCTTTTCCTTTTCTCATTCATTTTTTTCTTCTTTTCTTTTTTGGCCTTCTGCTTCGACCAAGCTTTATTTTTTATGAATTTTCTTCTGCCTTCATTTTCTGTTTTCTCTCTTCTTTGTTGCTCCAGGAGTTTCTGCCTCTGCTTTTCTCTAATTTTATCTTTAAATGGAATCGTGTCTGTATTAACGTCCACAGGCACAAAATCTGGAAACTGCTTTCCTCTCAATTCTGGCATCTTGGGCATCCTCAGCAGGGCAAAACCTTGAGCAAGGCTGGCAAAATCAAGATCTAATTCAATCAGAAGATCAGAGTTAGCACACTCAACAGGATTAGAACAATCAGTAATGGCTTACAATATAATTTTTTTCTAACCAAAGGGTTTAATGAATTCATTTAAATTAGAATGAAAATTATTACATTTTTACAAAGTTAAAAGGAATACTCAGCAGCCAGAGGCCAGTTTATTCTGTGTCTACTCAAAGCCTGGGAACACTTCCTTTTATGAGACAAAGCAATCTCATACTTGTAAGATCACCACATGGTTAAGATGGAGACATTATCACATGAAGAAGTCCAACTTACCCTTTAATCTGAAAATCAGGTTGCATTCATGCTTTGCATAAGCCTGGACATATGACACAAAAGCTTTCATGCCCTTTTCAAACACAGCTCTGTCGGCCAGGGCCATGGACTTGAGTTTTGGCAGAAGGTCCACTGTGTTTCTCTGGAGCTTCATCTCCTGCAGGGGGCACTACACACACACCACATTCTCACCTTCCCTGGTTGGCATCACATCCCCAGGGCTCCCCCATCACAGCCAAGAAAACCAAAAGCAAAACAATTCCTCTTCACCTTTTGAGGTCTGAAGCCCAATTCCAACCCAAATATTTCACATGCTCTAAAAAAGTATGTTAAATTTTTAAAAGAAAATTTAAAAATCAGATTTCACATGACAATCCTAATCTAGTAGCAAAGTATAGCAACACTGGGTCTCTATTCACAAGTCTCTATTCCCCCTTGCCTGGATCCCAGCAGGGCCTGCTACCACACAGGAGGCTTGGTCACTCCATGACCGAGGTGCCTCCACAGCCTTAAAGCCTACCAGGGTGGCCGGGCACAGTGGCTCACGCTTGTAATCCCAGCACTTTGGGAGGCCAAGGTGGGCAGATCACCAGAGGTCGGGAGTTTAAGACCAGCCTGACCAACATGGAGAAACCCCGTCTCTACTAAAAATACAAAATTATCTGGGGTGGTGGCGCACGCCTGTAATCCCAGCTACTTGGGAGGCTGAGGCAGGAGAATCCATTGAACCTGGGAGGCAGAGGTTGCAGTGAGCCGAGATAGCGCCATTGCACTCCAGCCTGGGCAACAAGAGCGAAACTCCGTCTCAAAAAAAAAAGAAAAAAAAAGCCCACTACCACAGGGCCCCACACTGCCACCACCAGCCCAGCCCCAGTGAGTTTGCAATTTGTAATTTCATTTGCTGACCACATGCTGGAGAAGAACTTTTCCAGCTATCCCGTCACTAGGCATTCTATCTGAAAAAGGATGGCAGCTTACTTTTTGGTTAATTGCAAGGAAATTGATGTATGACTCTTCCATGGGCAGGAGGAACACCAGAGCGCTGCCCCCGTGGCCAATGCGAGCTGTGCGACCGCAGCGATGCACGAAGGCACTGTGAGAACACAGGATGGAAATGGGTACCCAGGTGAGGACAGCTGAACAGAGTTCAGGCTCCAGCCACGTGGCTGATGCAGCTAAAATGCTATGGGGAGCCTCTAGCCTCCACAGCTCAGTGTGCACTTGGCCACTTACTAGTGTGAGAAACAGAAGAACTGGCAATTAAACCAGCACTGCAGACAGATATGATTCTGTAATAAACATTTAATGTGAACTCTAAGTAAAACTTGTATCTTTCTCTCTGATCAGACAGGTGGGACATGGTCCCCAGTGGAAAATCTGGGAAACAATGAAAAATACAAAGAATAAAATGAAAATGACCAATAATCTCAGGAGTAATCATCAACACTTCGGGGTTTACAGGCATCTTCCTATGCGTGGATGCATGTCTTAGAAATATATGCTGACTTTGGAGAAAGTAGTTGTAATTTTCACATGTGGTGTTATGTACTGCTTTTTTCCATTTAGACATTCTATTGTGTGTTTCTGCAAGAACTGAAAATAATTGAAAATACTTTTAATTGCTGCCAATACAATATCACTATTTCACCACAAATGGGTTATTCATCCATTTGCCTATTTTTGCCTCTTAAAACAATGGGTTTTTGTTTTGAGACAAGAGTCTCACACTGTTGCCCAGGCTGGAGTGCAGTGGCACAATCCATTGCCACCTCTGCCTCCTGTGCTCAAGCCATTCTCCTGCCTCAGCCTCTCAAGGAGCTGGGACTAAAGGCACACACGCCTAGCTAATCTGTATATATATTTTTTGTAGAGATGGGGTTTTGCCATGTTGCCCAGGCTAGTGAATTCCTGGGCTCAAGCGATTCACCCGCCTAGGCCTCCCAAAGTGCTGGAATTACAGGCGTGAGTCACCGCGCCCGGCCTCACATAATATTTTGTTGTTGCTTTATGTTTTCTCTCATTGTCTGAAATTTCTATAACCTTGCTCTACATGGAGCAGGGCAAGGCCTCAAACCGTTTCAAAACTGTTCTGGCAAGCACTGTAGGAATGCACGGGGTCACTGCAGACCCAAGCACGCTGGAGGCTTGCTATAAAATAATGTTTCAATGAACATCATTATCTGTTTATCTTCTTCAGGATTCCTACTTCATTAGGCTAACTTCCTCAACAGAGAGTGGGTGGCAGCCTCGTACCATACCTTGCATTGCTGGGAGGGTCATACTGCAAAACCCAGTTGACTTCAGGAATATCAATTCCCCGGGCCATCACATCAGTGCACACTAAAATCCCACTAGAAAATGAGAAAACAGCATTCTGAGTAAGGAGGCCACCATCTTTGTCACCATCAAACAGCCTACTGATCTTGATGACAGTGACACACAGGTGCTGGAGCTTCTCACAGAAGCACATGCTTAAGGTAATATTTTGATTTTTTCTTCTTTCTACAAATCTCTAGGACTTCATAAATTCCAATAAAAATTGGAGGGAGGTGAGAGACAGCAAAGGGATTTAAAAAATTACAAGATTTCCATTTGAAAACCGAAACTGTATGGGTCTAATCCTTTGTAGCCATCTGAAAACAACAGACACTTCATTCTGTAACTGAGGCCTCGCAGTCAGGTATATCGCTTTGCCCAAAAGAGGACTTTTAATATAGCCAGATGTTCAATGATTAAGAAAAACAGAAAACTGTTATTTGTCAGCATAAACAGAAACAAGTTATGGTCATTGGAAGACACAAGTTCCCTGCTGTGTAGTCACAAGCCTGATAAGCAGACAGTGTTTTGTTTTGTTTTTTTTTTTTTTGAGATGGAGTCTCGCTCTGTCACCCAGGCTGGAGTGCAGTGGCCGGATCTCAGCTCACTGCAAGCTCCACCTCCTGTGTTCACGCCATTCTCCCGCCTCAGCCTTCTGAGTTGCTGGGACTACAGGTGCCCGCCACCATGCCCGGCTAATTTGTTTTTAGTAGACACGGGGTTTCACCGTGTTAGCCAGGATGGTCTTGATCTCCTGACCTTGTGATCCACCCGCCTTGGCCTCCCAAAGTGCTGGGATTACAGGCATGAGCCACCGTGCCCACCCTTAAGCCACAGACAGTTTCTACACCAACAGGACAAATGGACAAATGGTTGCTGCTTGACAGTCATCACAACGCTTCCCTGGGCCAAGCACAGAGCAATCTGGGAGTGAAGACAATGCACAGGGCTCCTGTGTCACAGAGCCTGCCGTCTAGCACAGAAGTTCAGTAACTAGGGAAACGACATAGCAAAAGGCAAAGCGATTACAACAGGGCAGTGGAGGCTCTGGGCATTTACAGAGATGTGATAACCAGGTTACAGAGAGAAGAGGGTTCTAGGCAGGAAAAACAACACAAGCGGACAGCACAGGCTACTGGAGAATGGGGTGTTTGGGGACCTGAAAGAGCAGTGTGGCAGGAAAGCTGTTACCTCCAATGAAGCTCACCCACCTTTGCAATTTGCGGAACTCCATGAAGATCTTATTGCGTTTATATTTCATCTTTCCATGAATGCACATAATCTTCACGCCCTTCACCAGTGCCTCCAGAGCCTTTCCATAGTATTCCACACAGGCACAGGTACTGCAAGAGGGACAGAGGGCTTAGAGTCACTGACCACCGTGGTCCTTCTACAACCGGGAGAGGGGAACTGTGAGCAATAGCTGCAGCAGACACAACCTAACTACAAGCCCTCCCTAGGGGAATGACGAGAATGGCAGTGGAAATCATCCACAACTGAGTTCTCAATCTGTAATCCTCTCAGCCAATGAAAGGCCAATCTTTTGACAAAATACCTTAAACATGAGTTAAAACCCCCAAGGACGTATTCTACTGTCTAAAGATGTTCTAACAGGAAATCTCCCTGACCCCGAAAAAGGAATTGAAGTGAAACAGTCATTCAGAACAAAAGCAATGACATCTTAGCCACAAATAGTCTTACAAGATTTAAAAACATTCCTGCTTTTCCTTTAGGGAACTGCTTCTTCCCCAATTAGCAGGATTCCCAAGGGCTCAGCAAATAACCCAAGCTAGACCAATCAGATAGATCCCTTCTCCCAGATATTTGGGACTTGGAGCTGAGTCATCCAAGGACAAAAAGGAGGTTGGCAGAGTCATCCCAATAAAGATATGCCCTAAACAGATGGCCCATGAACTCCTGCCAGGGAGCCTCCTTCCCTGGGAGGTGGACACTCAGCATTCTCTCAATCTGTGAGTTCCTTACCCAGCACCCTTCTAATACAGCTCACCCTGGACCCTTTTCCTTAACTGGAAGCATTCCCCAGTGATTTCCCATCCTTTTGCAGATGAGGGAACTGAAACTTACCAGAAACACAGAGTAAGTGGCAGCACCAGAACCCAAGTCAAATGCTCCTCCCACTATACCAGACTACTGCATTCCAGTTTGGGCTAACTCTTGTCTACTTCAGTTCCTCCACCTATGCTGTGACTGCCACCAGACTGGTCCGTCTTTCCACCTTGAGTCACATAGTATGTAACGAAGTGGTGTTTCACACACTAAGCCTCATCACCCACAGATCTGGTGGGTTCTGAAATCAATTTAGTGTGTCTCGAGCAGCATTTTTAAAAAATTAACAGCTGGAGTAGAACAGAATAGAAAACATCCCACCTAGCAGAGTGTGGTTTCGTGAAAACCTTTGTTTTATTGTCTTGTTTGGGTGTGTACCGAATTGTACTTCTTACTGTGGGTCATGGTCAATATTGCATTTTATTTGTAGGATAACACATGGAAAAGTAATATAAAATTTTTTTTATGTACTGCTAAAGATCAACATATTTATCTCTGGAGAAAAGGGGAAAAGAACCAACCAGTCCAAAGAACATATGCATCTGTTCCTACGCTGCCTTCTGACCACAGGACAAAACCGCACTGTGGCGGACTCCATGGATGGCTGGTAAACACTATTCCCAACCACTTCTTGCTTCGCTGGCCACTACCACAGAGCCAGAAAAGCTGTGCGCTCATTTTCTCTGCTGCTCTTGAAGTGAGGGGCCACCACATGACCCACTTTTGGCCCCTAAGATGAATTCACAGCTGAAGTCAGCTAGGGCAGAGGGGTTTCTGAGGAAGCTCTTTGTTTTACTGATTAAAAGGCATGGATATAGCTAATATTGCCATACGCCCCCTCTGCCTTTCCCCCCTTATCTTTCTTCAGTGCAGACATGCCAGGGTATAATAGTGGTCATCCAGAATCCATGAGGTGACACACAGGAAGAGAAGATCAATCACATCAACATTGATCTTGACATGAATGACACATGAAACCCCTGTGAGAAACTGCCTCTGCCTTTGGACTTATTTTTACAGGACAAAAATAAAGCCAACCTTGTTCGAACCACGAAAGTTGGGTTTTCAGTTATTTGCAGCCAAAAGCATTCCCGAGAGAACCATGCTAGATGGAATCCAAAACCCAAAGGCCGCATGCACCTGCACATTCTGCCTGAATCCCTGACGCCCCTACCAGAGACCAGAGGAGTACCTGAAGAAGACCAGGTGTTTCTCCTGCTTATGATTGCGAAGAAAATGGACCAGCTGATTAAATTTCTCATCTGCCTTGCATACCTGCACAAGAAAAAGGGAAACTAATAAAAAACATATTTGGCAATAATAATCCCCATGGCTATTTTCCGTTTCAGCATTAAATTTTTTTTTTTTTTTTTTTTTTCTGTCACCCAGGCTGGAGTGCAGTGGCCGGATCTCAGCTCACTGCAAGCTCCGCCTCCCGGGTTCCCGCCATTCTCCTGCCTCAGCCTCCCGAGTAGCTGGGACTACAGGCGCCCGCCACCTCGCCCGGCTAGTTTTTTTTTTGTATTTTTTAGTAGAGACGGGGTTTCATTGTGTTAGCCAGGATGGTCTCGATCTCCTGACCTCGTGATCCACCCGTCTCGGCCTCCCAAAGTGCTGGGATTACAGGCTTGAGCCACTGCGCCCGGCCTTCAGCATTAAATTTTAAGGAATGTCATTTTCCCCATGGGTAGGACAGACTTTAGTCAGAATGTTAACTGGTCTACCTAGCTCAGAGTAAACATCGACATGTGCTGCTGCCTCTATGAGTTAATTTGTATGTCACAAAATCATACAGCTCAGAGAAACATAGTCATCCAACAGGCAACAGTTCCCAACTCCCAATCCCAATATACAGGAGAGCTGGTACACCATCTCCAGAGTAGATTTTTATTTATTTATTTATTTTACCTTTTCTTCTCCTTTTTTTTTTAAGAGACACACTCTCAATATGTTGCCCAGACTGGTCTCAAACTCCTGGCCTGGCCTCCAGTGATCCTCCCACCTCAGTTCTAAAGTGCTGGGATTACAGGCATGAGCCACCTAACCCAGCCAAAGGATATATATATATTTTTTAAATGCAGATTCTTGGGTACGACATACAGATTCTGATTCAGTAGGTCTGAGATTGGACCTAAGAATCCATATTATTTAAGAGTTCCCCCAGGAAATTCTGATGCCAAGTTCAGAAGTCACTGCTCTAAGATGAATAATGATTTCCAGAAAGCAATGTACATAATTATTTAAAAGGCTTCCATGGACTCAGACCCCACTGCTTTTTTTTCATAATGCAATCAAGTCCTCCATTCAAACTCCCAAATTAGAGACATTAAATTTACCTGAATGCATTCATCCTATTTTTACCAAAACCAAATGCCCAGTTTGGAATTTTTTCTCATGTACTCAGCCATCTCTAAATGCAAAACGAATGCAAAACAACAGAACGCAACAGTAGCCACAGTGGGTGTCCAAAGCTAACATTAGTACGAGTATCCCTCATCCAAGGTCCCTGGGACTTGAAGTGTTTTTTGGCTTTTGAATTCTTTCAGATTTTGGAATAGCTGCACTATACTTACCAGTTGAGCATCCCTAATCTGGAAATCCGAAATCTAAAATACTCCAACAAGCATTTCCTTTCCGCATCATGCTGGCATTCAAAAAACTCCAGATTCTGGAGCATTCTGGATTTTGAAATTTCAAGTTAGGAATGCTCAACCCATACTTACCGTGTACTAAGCACTATCATGAACATTTTTGCATGGATTAATTAATTAATCCTCCAGCAACCCTACGAAGCTGTATACTACTGTGGCCCCCATTTGACAAGTGAGGACCTCTAAGTTCACCGGTTAATTTAGTAAGGGCCAAAGCCAAGATATGCACCAGGCAGTCCTGCTCTAGCTGCTCTAGCGCCCAGGCTCTCCACACTACCCTATGCAGAGTCCTTCCCTCTGCTTGGGAAGAGCTAGCCTCCTCCCTCACCCAGCCTGGACTGTCAGAAACATCAATGGCAACTACAGCTCCCACTTCTGATGAGCCTATCTGATCTCGACAACACTCTCCAGTTATACTAGGTGCAGTTTCTCATTTGGAAACTCATTCTACCTTTAATCTGCCTACAAATTGACACAAACAGGAGAGCAGCCTCGACAACCTCACAGTCCACAGCAATGGGAACACTCTGGTTTCAAGACCAGCCTCCTTCATTTTGAACAGCAGACATGTTCAGGAGCTAGGGAACCCCTCCAGGCCTAAAGAAAAATTTAACCTGAAAAACCTTATTGCAAAAGAGAAAGAAAAGTCCCAGCCCCAGGCTGGTGGGACAATGTACCATCAGCAGTGGCACTGGCTTGTGGGTTCCTCCGTGCCCTGATGGTGCTGCCTCCCCTGCAGCCTGTGCTCTCTGCATTTGTGCCTCGTGGCCCATCCCAGCAATGGGACGGAACAGAACAGGGGTGGGGAGTGGCCTCATTACTAAACAATCAAATTGCCAAAAGCCCATCTACTTCCTTGTGAAGAAACTACAGAAGCTAGCAGCCAGTATTTACTACTAGAAATTCAGCATATTTGGGCCGGGCACAACGGCTTATGCCTGTAATCCCAGCACTTTGGGAAGCTGAGGCAGGCAATCATGAAGTCAGGAGTTCAAGACCAGCTTGGCCAACGTGGTGAAACCCCACCTCTACTAAAGATACAAAAAGTTAGCCGGGCACGGTGGCACACGCCTGTAATCCCAGCTACTCGGGAGGCTGAGGCAGGAGAATTGCTTGAACCCGGGAGGCAGAGGTTGCAATGAGCCGAGATCGTGCCACTGCACTCCAGCCTGGGTGAGACACTGTCTCAAAACAAAAAACAAACAAACAAAAAGGCTGGGCGCAGTGGCTCACGCCTGTAATCCCAGCACTTTGGGAGGCCGAGGTCGGCAGGTCACCAGGTCAGGAGATCGAGACCATCCTGGCTAACAGGGTGAAACCCCATCTCTACTAAAAAAATACAAAAAATTAGCCGGGCATGGTGGCGGGTGCCTGTAGTTGCAGCTACTCGGGAGGCTGAGGCAGGAGAATGGTGTGAACCCGGAAGGCGGAGCTTGCAGTGAGCTGAGATCCGGCCACTGCACTCCAGCCTGGGTGACAGAGTGAGACTCCGTCACAAAAAAAAAAAAAAAAGAAATTCAACATATCTGATGCAGGTCAAAAATACACAACATTTACAGAGTAGAACATTTATTTCCACCCCACAAAGTCTCCTCAGGAGTGAGTCTGTCACTTGATTTTCTGTGTTCCACCTGCACATCTAACTATGCCCTTCTCTGTGACACAGGCTGTTCTGACAGGCCCCGGAACTACAGAGTTTAATCATGCCTGCACCCAGCACACCCCAAGCATGTAAAATAGAAACATTTTGTCACTTGAGGGTAGGAGGTTCAGAGACACTGTCCTTAGAGACTGTGCTTAAAATACATTTATGCCCAATTTAACTAACTTACTCATTCATGAGCAGGAACACCCAGACCATTTCTCCTAGCTCTGTCCCCAAATGCATCTCATATGTGCTACAGGGTCTCATATATTTATTCTACCAGTACAATTTCCATAAAATGAGCACTGGTCATTATCACGAAGTAAGAAGCAGGCCCAGGCACTCACCATGTAGTAGTTTTCCAGGCGGGAGGGGGTCTTCTGGGCGCTGCTGGCTGCCACGCCTTTCTCCTTCACCGAGACCCGGACAGGGTTCCGGAGGCCCGCTCTCACCAAGTTCTCCACTTCCTGCGTCTGAGTGGCTGAGAAAAGGCCTGTTCTCCTCTGCTTTGGCAAAAACTCCAGGATGGTGTTGATGCTGATAAAAAGAGGGCTCACACTTAACCACTCACTTGCCAGCATAATCAACACACAGTGCTTCACGATACCAAACAGGTATTCAGAAAGACTGAAAGTGAAGCCATCAAAATATTTATAGCACATACACTGGGAGGTGAGATTATGGGTGATTCTTTGTTTCTTCTTTATACTTTCATTTTTCCAAGGTTCCTCAAATTTTAGCATATAACTATACAATTATAATGATATGTGAATTACATCCCATTAAACTGTTTATTAAAAAACAACAAAACTGCCAGGTGTGATGGCTCATGCCCGTAATCCCAGCACTTCGGGAGGCTGGGATGGGAGGATCTCTTGAGCCCAGGAATTTGAGACCAACCTGGGCAACATAAGGGGATCTTGTCTCTGCAAAAATTAAAAAAAAAAAAAAAGGCGTGATAGCATGTGCCTGTAGTCCCAGATACTCAGGAGGCTGAGGTGGGAGGCTCACTTAAGCCCAGGAAGTAAAGGTCGCAATGACCCAAAATCATGCCACTGCATTCTAGCCCGGATGACAGAGTGAAACCCTGTCTCAAAAAAAAAAAAAAAAAATACTTGAAGGAAAGTGCATTTTAAGATCAAAGATAGAACGGGAATAAAAATCACGTGGTAGAATTTGAAAGCTCAAACTACTTAATGATTTGAAATTAAAATGTGGTTAATAAAAATACTTAGGCCAGGTATGGTGGCTGGCGCTTGTAATCCTAGCACTTTGGGAGGCCGAGGTGGGAGGATCACTTAAGCCCAGGAGTTTGAGAACAGCCTGGGCAACATGGCAAAACCCCAGCTGCAAAAAATAAAAAAAACAGGCATGGTGGTGTGCGCCTGTAGCCCCAGCTACTCGGGAGGCTGATGCAGGAGGATCACCTGAGCCCAAGAGGTTGAGGCTGCAGTGAACATAATCACGCCACTGCACTCTGGCCTCGGTTACAGCACAAGACCCTGTCTCTAAAAAATAAATTAATTTAAAAAAATTAAAATGAAAATAAAAAATAAAAATACCTAGTCATAAAGTGGTAAACTCCATTTTGCTTTCCTTTTGTATTAGTATCATCCACCCACTCAAGCCAGTGAAGTCCAAAGTCCAGTACCTTGCCTCAAACCCCATGTCCAGAAGTCTGTCTGCCTCATCCAACACCAGGACATCCAGGGATCGCACACAGCTGGCCAGATCCAAGCCCTCCGCCTTCCTTCGGAACATGTCCTCCAAGCGGCCTGGAGTGGCCACAATGATGTTCCCACTTTGGAAAGAAAGTTAACATTTACCAAGCTCTCTGGATCTTGGGAATGTGGTTAATGATTACCAAAATACCAAGCTTCATATCCCTCCAAAGTCATTTAAGCCCTAGTGAAGAGAACGAAGAGCATGAGAGTGGAAAAGAGTGCTGTAGGGTAGAAAATGTGAGCGCTGCGGCGACACAGGATCTGGGTTCTGGGCTATGACCCAGGCAAGGTTGGCAAACTCCAGCTCCCAGACCAAACCTGGGCTGCTGCCTGTCCTTGCCAAGTATTTTATTGGCAGACAACCACGCCCATTTATTCACATGTTGCCTATCGCTGCCTTCACACTGCAACAGCAGTTGAGTAACTGCGACGGAGACCATATGGTTCACAAAGCCGAAAACAGTTACCATCTGCTCATTTACAAAAAAAGCTTCCCAACCTCTGACCTACGCAAGTTAACTCAACCATTGTAGGCCCCAGGTAGCTCACATGTAAAATGGGAATGTTGACAGAATTAGAGAACCCTATGTAAAGATCACAAACTGGCAGACTCAGGGCCGGATGTGGCTCCCTCAGACTGGCTCACCTACAAGATGTGTTTTTCAAATGTGGATTACACGCCAACAGTTAAAAAATCAGGAGATAACACACACAAATCTGGAATTCCATCTTCTTTTTAAAAAATTCAAAACCTGGCACGACTGAGCCCAGTTCCGCCAGGCAGCTACCAACTGGAGCTGAGTATTCCAGGCAGCTACTGGCCAGTTCCTCACCATCCCCCAGTCCCGCATTCATCTATCCTGACCACTCATTTATCCTCACGTCGTTCTCTTGACCTCTGTAGGAACCTGAGTTAAGTACTCATCAGGCCCTCATGGGAAGGAGCTAGCAAAGCGCCATAGGAAGCTGGCCTGGAGAAAACACCTTTTTGCAGGGGGAGGAGACTGCTGAAAGAGGGACCCACAGTTAGGCTGAGCTCACATATCAATTCTTATGTTCAGTGCCAAGAGCAGCAAATAAATGAGCAGACATGAGCAAACTCACCCTTGTTGCTTAAACCTCTCAACATCTTCTCCAGGATTCCTGCCTCCAATCCAAAGAATCTGGCTGGAACAAGAAAACAGTCTTTAAGTTCGGCAAAACAACAGCCCGTGGCTAACAGGGACACTGCATCCAATTCACCTGAACTGGGGGAAGTGCTTCGTGAAATGCGACAGGACCTCGTCTATCTGAACGGCCAGCTCTCGGGTGGGGGTGATGATTATGGCTCCGACCTGCCCACATGGAAGGAAGGGACACAGTCAGCAGCGCAAGGGCCTCCTGGAGAGGAACTCATAGGCCCTCCGCCCTCCACCACACAGAGAACTTCCAGAGAAACCACAGTTACTGGGCGTTCTCAGCAGCATCCCTGAGCACATATCAACTACTTTGAATTACGGTTACTTGTCATCATACACTGCAGTTATGCTCTTTAAAGTCACTAACACTAAGAACACTGAATTAGTGAACGCTGAACCACTGCTCACAGGGGAAACGCAGGGTTAGGTTCCTGCCAGTCTCTGGACATGACATTTTTGTCAACCAATCGATACATAACTCTATTTTATGTCTGTTTGTGCTTAAAAGACTCTATTTAATATATACTGTTGATTCATTCCTATTGAACTCGTGGCCAACAGCACATTAACTCATGCCCGAGCTTGTGCTTCTCTAGTGCGGGGATTCTCTCTGCACGTCATAACCTTCTTGCGCCCAGGAACACTAGACTGCACTACATCACGGAGCCATTTCAAAAACCAAAATCACCAACATAAAGCAACAAATGTGTAAAATGGCTGGGCACGCTGGCTCACACCTGTAATCCCAGCACTTTGGGAGGCCGAGGCGGAAAGATCACTTGAGCCCAGAAGTTTGAGACCAGCCTGGGTAACATGTCAAAACCCCTTCTCCTCAAAAAATACAAAAAATTACCCAGATGTGGTGGTCCACACCTGTAGTCCCATCTACTTGGGAGGCTGAGGCAGGAGGATAACTTGAGCCTGGGAGGTGGAGGCTGCAGTGAACTGAGATCACACCACTGCACTCCAGCCTGGGTGACAGAGCAAGACCCTGTCTCAGGTAAAAAAGGAAAAAAAAAAGGTGAAAAACATAGCACTAAATAGATGACGAAAAGGACACTGTTTACACCTGAGCAGTAAAACAAAAGGCAGCTCTGTCCATGCCCATGACCACAGAAGCACCGAGGATCCACTGGGGTGTTATAAGTTTCAACGAGCAGACAAATTAACAAATATAGAATCCACAAATAATGAGGATTGTCTTTTTTTTCTTCAAGTTTCTTTCATTCATTCATTCATTCATTCATTCATTATTGGTAGAGATAAAGTCTCACTGTGTTGCCCAGGCTGGTCTCAAACTCCTGGACTCCAGTGATCCTCCAGACTCGGCCTCCCAAAGTGCTGGGATTACAGGTGTGAGCCATGGCTTCTGATCTATTTTTTCAAGTTTGTAGCCAGCTTCTTAATCCAATGTGAACTCTGACGACGAGGTGAAAATAAATCACTTTCACTGTCCTCACCTGACTCTTCTTTAACTTCTCTTCTCTTCTCAGAAGAATTTCCAGGATGGGGATGACAAAAGCGAGTGTTTTGCCACTACCTGTGACCTGCAAACAGAGAGTTTTGGTTTCCTTTTCTTCCTCAGAGTTCATGTGAGGGAAAACACAAGGACAGGCTGCACGTACCCGAGACACTCACCGCTTCTGCAGCGACATCTTTGTTTCGCATGAACAGAGGGATGGTTGCAGACTAAAGGGAGAGATTGCAAAGCACCGGTTAAAGGATGTCATCACTTCACAGGTGAGAACCGAAGTCCTAGGAACATAATGGGCGGCTAAGGCCACAGTGGACCCCACCACAAAAGGGGCTCTGAGTAACCAAGTCACCATAGAGAAGTTGAATCAAACGTGGCAACTGTGTCTACATGGACGACGTGTGGGGACAGTGAGCTGAGCTGGGAGGTGGGAGTCCTGAATTCTATTCCTGTCTCTCCAACTTCCCTCTCTGAACCAGGAAGGGGTTGAAGACATTAGGTTTTAGGGTCCCTTCCAGCTCTAATATCACAGAATCAAGATTCAAATAAACCTTCTCATTTTAAGCACTGTAGAGGTCTCCAGACTTTACAAGAAACCTGGTTTTAGCATCAAAAAAGCTAAACCTCAATTAGATTTAGGCCTTGGCCTCGCGGCTGCTCCCTCCAGGGTTCAGCCCTGGTCCCCAGGGCCTGAGCTCACTTAAATCACAGCAGATGTAATATTATTCCAACTGCCTCTGCACAGTGATTTCTATCCTCCCTATCAACCCCCGAGGGAACATTTGGCAATGTAAGGAGACATTTTTGGTTGTCAAAACCCAGGGTGGGCCAGGCATGGTGGCTCACATCTATAATTACAGCACTTTGGGAGGCCCTTAACTCCCTTAAGGCCAGGAGTTCCAGACCATCCTTGGCAACACAGGGAGACTCTATCTCTACAAAGAAAATATTTTTAATTATGTGGGTGTGGTGGTGCATGCCTGTGGTCCCAGCTACTCAGGAGGCTAAGGTAGGAGGATCACCTAGGCCCAGGGAGGTCGAGGCTGCAGTGAGTTGTGACTGTGCCACCACACTCCAGCCTGGATAACAGAGCAAGACCCTGCCTCAAAAAAATAAGTAACTAAATAAATTACAGCCAGAGTTGGGAGGTGATGTCCTCTGGTGGACAGATTCCAGTGATGCTGTTAAACATCCTACAATGCCCAGGACAGCCCACAACAAAAAATTTTCCAGCACAAAACTCAATAGTGCCGAGGGTGAGGACGCTGCTCCAGGCCACTGCTGTCCAATAGAAATAAAATGTGAACCACATAAACAATGTTAAATTTTCTAGTAGCCATAGTAAGAAAAGTACAAAGAAATGGGTGAAATAAATTTTAATATTTTATTTAACCCAATATATCAAAAATATTGTCCCTTCACATTTAATCAATATGTAAAAATCAACATTTTCCATTCTTTTTTCATACTAGGTCTTCAAAATATACTGTGTTATTTGATACTCAGAGTATACTTTGATTTGGACAAAGTGTATTTCAAGCACTCTATAGCCGTGTCTGGTGACTGTGTAGTGGATGACAGGTCTAGACAATGAGCTCTGAGGCTCTGAGGATCTGAGGCCAGGTTCCCTAGGCAGGGAACACAGCACTCCCAGTTTCCATCTCCAGCCCTGTCTGCTGGAAATAGATTCTCCACATTCCCAGGAATCTTATGGGCATCTCAAACTCAAGGCTTCATTTATTTTCAAAAATTTTTTGCTATTATAGGGCCTGCCTATGTTGCCCAGTTTGGTCTTGAACTCCTGGTCTCAAGTGATCCTCCCACCTTAGTCTCCAAAAGTGCTAGGATTACAGGCGTGAGCCACCTTGCCCGGCCATTATTTATTTTAATTTCAGAGATGGGGGTCTCACTATGTTGCCCAGGCTGGTCTTGAACTCTTGGGCTCAAGGGATCCTCCCACCTCGGCCTTCCAAGTAAATGGTACTCCAGGCGGGTGCCACTGTACCCAGCTCAATGTTTAAAAACAGGACTCTTGTGGCCAGGCACGGTGGCTCACACCTGTAATCCCAGCACTTTGGGAGGCCAAGGCGGGCGTATCACCTGAGATCAGGAGTTTGAGACCAACCTGGCCAACATGGCGAAACCCTATCTCTACTAAAAACACAAAAATTAGCCAGGCGTGGTGATGCACGCCTGTAATCCCAGCTACTCGGAAGGCTGAAATGGAAGAATCATTTGAACACGGGAGGCAGAAGTTGCAGTGAGCTGAGATCATGCCATTGCACTCCAACCTGGGCAACAGAGCAAGATTCTGTCTCAAAAACATTTAAAAAAAAAAAAAACAAACCCCACACACACACACAAAGAAAAAAAAACAAGAACTTTTGACTTTCCTTCTGAAACCTGCTACACCCTCCAGCCATTCTCGGGAAATGGTAACACCATTCACTCAGCTACTAAGAATAAAAATCGGTGGGGTGCGGTGGTTCAGCCTGTAATCCCAGCACTTTGGGAGGCTGAGGCAGGTGGACCACGAGGTCAGGAGTTCAAGACCAACCTGGCCAAGATGGTGAAACTCCATATCTACTAAAAATACAAAAAATTAGCCGGGCGTGGTGGCAGGCGCCTGTAATCTCAGCTACTGAGGAGGTTCAGGCAGAGAATTGCTTGAACCCGGGAGGTGGAGACTGCAGTCAGCCAAGATCGCGCCACTGCACTCCAGCCTGGGCAACAGAGTGAGACGCGATCTCAAAA